TGACCAGGATGGTCTCGATCTCTTGACCTCGTGATCCACCCGCCTCGGCCTCCCAAAGTGCTGGGATTACAGGCTTGAGCCACCGCGCCCGGCCAAGATTTTATTTTTTAAGAGCAATTTTAGTTTCACAGCAAAACTGATAGGTAGGTACGGAGATTCTCATAGACCTCCTTCCCCCATGTAGTGAAGGCTTCCCTGACTACCAACATCTGAATCAGAGTGGTAAATTTGTTACATTCAATGAACCTACATTGACACATCATTAGTAACCAAAGTCTGCAGTTTACATTAGAGTTACTTCAACCTTGGTGTTTACATTGCGTACCTCTTTGAACAAATGTATACTTGCATGTATCCACTATTACGGTATCATGTGTCATTCGATTTTTTTTTTGTTTTTGTTTTTTGTTTTTTTTCAGGTTTTGTTTTGTTTGAGACAGAGTGCTCTTCTGTCGCCCTGAGCTGGAGTGCAGGTGGGCCATCTGAGTTCACTTCAATTTCTGCCTCCCAGCTCAAGTGATCCTCACACCTCCGCCTCCTGAATAGCTGGAACTACAGGTGTGTACCACCATACCTTGCTAATTTTTTGTATTTTTTGTAGAGAAGGGGTTTCACCATGTTGCTCAGGCTGGTCTGGAACTCCTGAGCTCAAGGGATCCATCTGCCTCGGCATCCCAAAGTGCCAGGATTAAAGACGTGAGTCACTAAGCCCGGCCTAAAATGTGGTTGTTAATGACTACATCCGTTGTATAACCAAAATCCCCTATTATTGGACATTTAGACTGTTTCCTTATCTGTTTTAAAGATGAGAAAACTAAGGCCCTTCACTTGACAAGTCACTTGTCCAAAGTCACCTGACTAAAAAGTGGCAGAGCTGAGATTAGAAATCTGATGTGACTCCAGAACCCATTCTTAGGCCACCCCACTGCATCTAGAATTAATAATACGCCACCTAACCCTGTTAGATCAGCTCCCCTCAACTTGAAAGACAGTGACCAGGCAGGCATCTCCACAAGCAGAGCAGCCAAGGATTCAAGTATATGTTGAGGAGGGCAGGCAATACAAAAAAACTAGGTGGCCTAACTGAGATGGAACAAGCAGAAAATGCCAAGGGGAGGTCCAAGAATAGAAATAAACAGGAGGTAGGAGATGGGTACACAGAACGCTGGTTAAGATAAAGAGAAAGCTGGATTTGGGAAACCTAAAAGTAAGAAACTCTGGCTTTTATCTGTTTGTAGGAGGGAGCAAAGATAACCTCAAGGCCATGTGGGGAGCCAGGAAGGATAAGGCTTCTGGGAAAAGGAATGAGAAAAGGGAGGGTAAACTCCCGAGGACTACAAGGCCAGGAGACGCTTTGTGTGGGAAGGAGGAGAGGCCAGAAGTCAACGAGGCAGGATGGAATAGGCACTGGACACCAAACCTTCCTGTTCCTAAGGAGACTTCCTTCCAGACTGAGCCTCCTCTAGTAGCTCAGCTACTAAATGCTCTCAGCCTTTAGGGGCTGGAGTGGGAAGTGGGGAGCGGGGATTGTAAAGTGTTCTAACTATTAATATAATGCGGACTGAGAATGGATCCTGGCATACATTTTGTAAAGGCAGTAGGCTTAACGTTAGTGCCACCTACCCCTACTCCACTTCTCTAGCCTAACCTCAGCCACACCCACAGGCTAAGGACCATCCAGGAGGGGGGGAGCGTGAGTGTGTTAGCGCGCCTGCGTGCTCGTGCGCAAGAGAAAAGCAGAGAGACAGAGACGGAGACAAAAAGAGACAGGGGGAGAGAGAGAAAGAGAGAGCGAGAAGAGAGAGACAAGGACTGAAAGAGGGCGGGAGGAGAGAGGCAGAGAGAGTGAGAGTGTGTGTGTCTGAGAGAGAGGGAGCGATCGGTCAGCCTTGGTGAGGGAGGAAAACTCCAGAGATAATGCAGGGAGTTCCTGCAGGAAGACTCAGGGAGAAGATCCCAACTTACCCTAAGCCTGTTAAGAGAGTAGGGGGTGGCTTTGCAGGACCTGGTTTGGGGGTCATCAAGCATTAACGGTTACTGCATAGGCGTTGTCACTCAGCCAGAGCCATTTAACCCTACCTGTGTGGCTGGGGATCAGGCTTCAGACACCCCATAACTCTGAATCTCCGACTGTTTAGGGGGCCTCAGGACTGCAGACAAGGGGAGGAGGGGCACGTGAAGGCTGGGTCCCTACCTCCCCCCATCCTCCGCTGTCACTCACTACCCCAACAGTCGCCCAGGGGGCGGGCCCCGGAGAGGTGGGGATGGGGGAGGGTAATCTTGGCAGGCGCCTGCTGCATGGCGTAGGTAGGGACTATTGAGGGGGGCGGACGCCGAGGGGGTTGAACACGAGTGGGAAGCGAAGAGAGACACGGGGAGGGGGAGGGGACCGGGAACCATTTGAATGAGAGGAGGGGATCACGGGTAGAGTGGGCTCCAGGAGGTAGGGCGGGCAGGGTGTGACGGGGGCCAGACTCTTGAGCCAGGTAAGGGAAGCAGGTGCGTAGATCTGTGTTTTTTGTGAGTGAGCACACTCGGCCCTTGGGTGGAAAGGGGACGCCGCCTTTCCCGGGGGGGCCGGCTTCAAAGCTCCAGAGGCTATCTTTTCCTTCTCAACTAACGGGGCCCCGGGCGGGGGCTCAAGCGCCGTCTCCAGTGGCTGTACTCCACTCCGCAATTTCCAGGCGGCCACTGGACTGGGAGTCTCGCGCCGGGGGCCGGCGCTGTCTCGCGAGCCCCCTCCTCGAGCCAGCCAATGGGGTTGGTTGCTGGCACCGCCCGCCCGCCTGGTGCAGAGCGCTGGGCGCTGCGAGCGGCGCTGCCATTTAAAGGGGCCGCGACCCCTGTCCCGGCTGCTAGGGAGGGAGGTGGAGAAGGAGCGCGGGGCCGTCGCTGTCTGCAGTTCTAGGCTTGTAGCCTTTACACTAACCCTGCCGCAGGTAGGGGTCGGGCCTGCTCAACCCGAACCGAACCTGCAAGCGGTATCCTGCGGTAGCCGGGAGGGGGGGTCTGAGGAGAGATCGCAGCTCCAAAATGTCTCCCTGTAAATGCCTGAGGTTGGGGGTGGGCAACAGGAGAAGGGAGGACTGGAGGAGCAATGGGAAAGGGGGACGGGGCTGAAGAAGTGGGAGACCTGAAAGGTAACTGGGGGGAAGGGGTTACGTAGGGCAGTTTGTGGGGGCGGGGGAAGGGCCGAGGGAGGACCTAGCAACGCGGGGAGGGGGGGGGGGGCAGACAGGGTGGGTAAAGACTGGGGAGCTGGGGGGCTCCAGCAGTGTGGGGAGGGAATGGAAACTGAGATCGCGGGGGCGGGAAAGGCTCCTGGTGGCGACGGCCTTAGGAGACTCTAAGGGGGCATTCAGCCTGAGTTGGGGGGGTGAAAGGTAAGGGGGGAAGGGAATGGGAGTTGCAGTCGAGTGTGGGGGGGGCGGTGGGCGGGTGGAAAGACCGACTGCCTGGCCAGTGTGGGCACGGGGCCAGGGCGGGGAACGCCTCTCCCCACTGGGGGCGCTGTATGGGGGGAGTGGTCATTAGGACTGAAGCCTTCGGAAATGCTTGTAGATTGTGGTGGTGGGGCTGTTCAAGAGAAATACAAGTGGATGATGGGGTGTGTCTCAGCCTATATAAGAAGGAATTCTGGCTAAGACCACCTCTATTGCTCCCTCTTCCACTCCTACTCTGCAGCCCATATCTAGCCATACTCATGGACCCCAGTGATTTCCCCAGTCCATTTGACACATTGACCCTGCCAGAGAAGCCCCTGGCTGGAGATCTACCAGTAGACATGGAATTTGGAGAGGATCTGCTGGAATCCCAGACTGCCCCAACTCGAGGATGGGCCCCCCCTGGCCCTTCTCCATCCTCGGGAGCCCTGGACCTGCTTGATACCCCTGCTGGCCTGGAAAAAGACCCTGGAGTCCTGGATGGAGCCACTGAGTTGCTGGGGCTGGGGGGGCTGCTCTATAAAGCCCCGTCTCCCCCGGAGGTGGACCACGGTCCTGAGGGGACCCTGGCATGGGATGCGGGGGATCAGACCTTAGAGCCTGGACCAGGAGGCCAGACCCCTGAGGTGGTACCAACTGACCCAGGGGCTGGGGCAAATTCCTCTTCACCCGAGGGGCTGCTAGAGCCTTTGGCTCCAGATTCTCCAATAACCCTGCAGTCCCCACATATTGAAGAAGAGGAGACCACCTCCATGGCTACTGTGAGAAGGGGCTCCCCTGGGCAGGAGGAGGAGCTTCCCCAAGGGCAGCCACAGAGCCCAAATGCCCCCCCTAGCCCTTCAGTGGGAGAGACTCTGGGGGATGGAATCAACAGTTCTCAAACCAAACCTGGGGGCTCTAGCCCAGCTGCACATCCTTCCTTGCCAGGTAGGTTGCCTAATTATCTGGAGAATCAGGGCTAGGAGACGGGTGGTAAGGAAGTGTGGCTGTGTGCTTTGCGAAGTAGTGGGGAGGAGGAGGGTGGAGAGATAAGAGTAGGGATGGGTGTGGGGAAGGACTTGGGGTTTAGGAGGGAGGAGTATGGTGGTGCGGAGAGGAAGATTAAGGAAAGTAGGGGTGGGCACAGGCTGTGGGGGAGGAATGGGGTAAGGTTTCAGGGAGTGTAGGTTGGGGGGAGTGGATTTGGTGGGAAAGGTTCCCTTTTTCTTAGCCCAGCAGGCTTTTGGTGCCAGAGTCCTTCCTTCAGGATTTAGGGAAGTACACCAGGCTTCTTGGTTCTAAGACTTTTACAGCTTTTGGTTCTAAATGGGAGTGGGGTTTCTGGGTTTGATGAATGGTAACTAGGTTCTAGAACCCCTAACAGCATAAGGATTTAGGCAGAGTGGTAGAAATGCAGGGTCTAGGATTGAATCTCTGATAGGGGAGGGACAGCCTTGATTTGAGAGGCTCTAGTTTCTCCCGTCTTCTGCCTAGTGGTGTGCCTCTGTCACGCTGTGGTGAGGGTCTTGGGGCTTATATAACCACCCGAATCCAGGGAAACCTACCCAGACATTGATGCGTCCTTTTCCTTTTGCTACCTTTGGGTGGTTGTGTGTGTCTTTCATTGGTAAAATATAAATTCTTAATGAAAGGTATATTACCTGTATTTCCTTAACCCTTAAGGATTGGGACAGAAAGCTGATGGGAAGGATAGAATTTTTTTTATGGAATAGCTGCACGTGCCCCCCCTTAGTACAGTGCCCGAGGTAACCCTGAGAGGGGCCCCAAGAAGCCACAGGCACTTGAGTTTTCCCTTTCAGTTTTGAGTAAGTTCTTCCCCAGGAATGGAGGCGGGGGTTGGGCCGGGGAGGGGGTGGTGAGGGCAGGCTCAACATTTAGGCTGCCTTCTGCTTCCTTTGCAGGAGATGGCCTGACTGCGAAGGCGAGTGAGAAGCCGCCTGAACGGGTGAGGGGGAGGGGATTGGAAGGAGTCTCGTTCCCCCTTAGCTCTGGGAAGGACAGACCCTTCATTTTCCCTCCCAGATGTTGTTCAGTAGAGAGTGTGTGTAAGGAGGAGGGAGGGAGCACTACTGTCTACTGCTTGTTGGGGAGAAAGTCCAGCCTCCTTTTCTCCCCTCCTCCTAAGGGCTGGGCCAAGGGTCCCTATTCTCCCTTCCCCCTCCCATCTCCTATCCCCCCCCCAAACTCTGTACTAGTGTTAACCTGGCCAGGGTGTCAGTTTTCCATCCCTCCCATCTTTCCAAGGTACAGAAGAGAAGCGAGCGCGTTAGGAGAGCAGAACCTCCAAAACCTGAGGTTGTGGATTCCACTGAGAGCAGTAAGTAGGATTTGAGGAAGTGTGACCTGGGAGTTCTGGGTATGGAAGAGAGCCGAAAGTGGCATGCAGCAGGGCATGGATCTTCTAGCTCCTGTAGTCCTGCTCTATGCAGTTCGAGAAGTACCTGTCTCCGCTATGGGTTGGCATGGGAACCAGGGGCAGTGGGGGAAATTGAAAACAAGAGCAGTGAGAATGGTGAGTTTCCTGTTTGATCTATGCCATCTCTGTCTCCAAATCTACTCATTTAGAGCCTCTCTCTTTCCCCCCCTGGGAGGTTACAGAGTAACCAAGGGAGAGAGACACCAAGGTCTTATACTAATGTAACAAGGGCCAGGGTGTAAAGGCTGGAACAACTGGGATTCCAGGAGAGGGACTGAACTGTTGATCAGGGGATGGCTGGAAACCTGGTCTGGTGGCCTTTCTCACGTCCACCTCCCCACTTCCTCAGTTCCAGTGTCAGATGAGGATTCTGATGCCATGGTAGATGACCCCAATGATGAGGACTTTGTGCCATTCCGACCCCGGCGCTCTCCTCGAATGTCCCTACGTTCAAGTGTGTCACAAAGGGCTGGGCGCTCTGCAGTGGGCACCAAGATGACTTGTGCACATTGCCGGACACCACTGCAGAAGGGGCAGACTGCCTATCAGCGCAAGGGGCTGCCTCAGCTCTTCTGCTCGTCATCCTGCCTCACTACTTTCTCCAAGAAGCCTTCGGGCAAAAAGACCTGTACCTTCTGCAAGAAGTGCGTGAGGGTCTTGGGGGCTGTGCAGAGGGCAGGGATCTGGGCAGGAGTATGAGTAAGACAGAGACTGTTGGTAAGAACCTAGCAGGCCAGAGCTGGGCAAGTGAGCGATATAGGGAGGGAGTCTGTGGTCACTGATCCTGGAGGAGGGGCGGAAGCTGAGGAAATGAGAGGGTGGTCCTGAGTGAATATTCAAACCTGTTCCCACCTCTAGGGAGATCTGGAACACCAAGGACTCGGTTGTGGCGCAGACTGGTTCCGGAGGCTCCTTCCATGAGTTCTGCACGTCTGTCTGTCTCTCCCTGTATGAGGCCCAACAACAGCGCCCAATCCCCCAGTCTGGGGATCCCGCCGATGCCACTCGCTGCAGCATATGCCAGAAGACTGGGGAGGTGAGGACACTCGGTGGGGGCTGATGTACAGAGCCTGGCCAGTCCTGACCTGCCCCTCCCATCCTGGGGCTGCAGGGGCCAGGCCCTGTGGAAAGGGGAGTGGGGAGGAAAGGTGGCCACCATGAGGGAGCATATTCAAGGACAGAGCTTCTCCAGGATGTGCGCAGCTGGCCTTCCTTATCTCCCAGGACCTCACCATCAAGTCGGCAGCCTGAGGCGCAGGTTGGGGGGTCCCTGGGCCCACTGTCTGCTGTGAAGGTCTAGGGTGAGGTGGGGGGCTGTCCTTGCATTGGGGTGGGCGGTGGTGGCCAGGCTGTAGCTCAGGGTGTGTGTGTGTGTGGCAGGTCCTGCATGAGGTCAGCAATGGCAGCGTGGTACACCGGCTCTGCAGCGATTCTTGCTTCTCCAAATTCCGGGCCAACAAGGGACTGAAAACCAACTGTTGTGACCAGTGTGGGGCTTACATCTACACCAAGACCGGGAGCCCTGGCCCCGAGCTCCTCTTCCATGAGGGCCAACAAAAGCGGTTCTGCAACACAACCTGCTTGGGGGCGTACAAGAAGGTGGGGCCGAGGGAGTAGTGCATTAGAGGGCTGTGGAAGGGGGTATGGTTCTTGGGTGATAAATAAAGGTGGCTGATGGGTCAAGGGCTGGGAGAAATAAAACAAATAAAGGGGGTTTCAATTGTATCTGTTATGTTTTATTTTTGAAGCTGGCTGGTGGATACACAGGTCTTTGTTACATCATCATCTATACTTTTTTTGTATGCCTGAAATATTTCATGTTTAAAACATTTAAAAAATAAAAGTGAAGGGACAAATCCAGCCTCAGCCTCTCCTTCCCCATCCTCACAGAAAAACACACGTGTGTACCCATGTGTCTGGTGCAAGACCCTGTGTAAGAACTTTGAGATGCTATCACATGTGGATCGTAATGGCAAGACCAGCTTGTTCTGTTCCCTGTGCTGTACCACTTCTTACAAAGTGAAGCAGGCAGGGCTCACTGGTAGGTGCAAAGCCCTCTTCTCTGAGTCCCCTGCTGGCCTTCTCTCTACCTCCCATACTCCCCTCTTCCAGAGTAATCCCTGCTGCCCCACCTCAGCCCCAACCACATTTCCCCGTGGATTTTCTGTTCCGTCTCTGCACTACGTTACACCTTCTGTGTGCTCTCTCTCTCCCCCCTCTCTCTTTCTTTCTTTCTCTTTTCCTCTCTCTCATTCTCTCTATGCCCCAGGCCCTCCCCGACCCTGCAGCTTCTGCCGCCGCAGCCTCTCTGACCCCTGTTACTACAACAAGGTGGACCGCACAGTCTACCAGTTCTGCAGCCCCAGCTGCTGGACCAAGTTCCAGGTACTCAGACCCTGGACCAGGGATAGAAGGGTGTGGCAACATAAAGAGGGTCAGAGGATTGGGGTAGGCAGGCCTGGGCAGAGCAAAGAACAAGCCTGACTCCCCTTCTCCACCGCTGCACACATGTTGCCCCTCCCTCCTTACTTGTCTTCCTTCCCTCCAGCGCACAAGCCCCGAGGGGGGCATTCACCTGAGCTGTCACTACTGCCACAGCCTCTTCAGTGGCAAGCCTGAGGTCTTGGACTGGCAGGTAAGAGCCCCACCCCCACCCACATCTTGCCACATGACCAGACTGTCTGAAGGGGTCCTTCCACTTGGCCCCTGCTGGGCCAGACGTTACAGCTTGTCCTCCTCGCCCTGTGCCCCCACCTCAGGACCAGGTGTTCCAGTTCTGCTGCCGTGATTGCTGTGAGGACTTCAAGCGGCTTCGGGGTGTGGTGTCCCAGTGTGAGCACTGTCGGCAGGAGAAACTCTTGCATGAGAAACTCCGATTCAGCGGAGTGGAGAAAAGCTTCTGCAGCGAAGGTAAGGAAATGGGGAAGGGCAGAAGATACTGTTAACTCCCAGCCAGGAAGAATGGAGGGAAAGGGAGGGAGGCTGGGAAAGTGGTCCATGAGGCAGAGCCTTCTACCCATGATACTCTACCCGCCCCCCCACCCTGTCTCCTCTAAGGCTTTGGGTACAAGGGGCTGCTTAGAGAGAGGTTTCAGGTGTCGTGCCTTGAAAAGATTGGGTCTTGTGCCCTTCGGTATCTGTGTCTCTGGACGCTCTTTCCTCTTTCCCTCTTTCTAGGCTGTGTGCTGCTGTACAAACAGGACTTCACTAAGAAGCTGGGCTTGTGCTGTATCACTTGTACTTACTGCTCCCAGACCTGCCAGCGTGGAGTCACTGAGCAACTGGATGGCAGCACTTGGGACTTCTGCAGTGAAGACTGTAAGAGCAAGTACCTGCTGTGGTACTGCAAGGTAAGGCGGGTCAGCATGCTAGCGAGCCGGGAAAGAGGGTGGCGGGGAGCATGGGCTGTGGTACTGAGCTTGGGTGTGGGCAGATCTCAGGGAGGGCAGCCAGCCTTCCATCTCTAAGCGGCCCCATCTCTGAGAGGAGGAGCATGGCTTATCCCAGGGGAAAGAAAGTGCTCGACACATTTTAGGGAGGCAGGTCTGACCATCTTGTTAACATCCTCAGGCTGCCCGGTGCCATGCCTGTAAGCGCCAGGGGAAGCTGCTGGAGACCATCCACTGGCGTGGGCAAATCCGTCATTTCTGCAACCAGCAGTGTCTGCTGCGCTTCTATAGCCAGCAGAACCAACCCAACCTGGATACCCAGAGTGGGCCCGAGAGCCTCCTGAACAGTGAGTCCCGGGCAGAGGGCACACTCTGTTAGAGGGGGCCTGGACTCTCCTAATCCTAAGCCTGGCCCTTTTCTCCTTCCTCTTGCATTCACCTCATCCCTGGCCAGATAGGGTATGGTACTGTGAACTGTATTCTCTTTTAGCTTCCAGACCCTGCAGGTACCAGGGTGAGTCTTATTTAAAGCTTCTTAGAGTTAGCATCTACTGATTTTCTATGAAGTATGTATTTTTAGGGAATGGGTACCTATCCAAGTATGATGGGGCATGTAGGGATTGTGGTTAGTTTTTTGAGATAAGGAGATCTCAGCATAAACTCTACCTTTAGTGAGACTGAAGACTACTGTTTCTCGAATGTTACCCCTCCCCTCCACAACTCCAGGGATACCAAACTCTTCAGGCTATCTAAATGGAAGGTTTCAAATGTGGGTTGTGGGGGAAAGTGTAATGTTTCATTCTCCAGGAGCAAAGAATCTTCTTGGCTGCTGTTGCTGGGGCATATAGGAGACTACATCTGGGATGGCAAGGGGGACAGATCCTAGAACTTCCCATCTGTATTTGGTGTACCTGTTAATGAAGCTCTCCTGGAACAGGTGTAAGGAAAATGGACAGCTAGTTCCTTGGATGAGAGCATTCATTTGTTTTGATCTACAGGTCAGTCTCCTGAGGCAAAACCCCAGACACCCTCTCAAACCAAAGTGGAGAACAGCAACACAGTGAGGACCCCAGAGGAAAATGGGAATTTGGGCAAGGTCGGAGCAAAAGCCAAGGGGGAGGATAATTTCAGAAGAGGGTACGGTGGTTGGGGGCACAAACGTTCCTTTATCTCTGCAGATCCCTGTGAAGACCCGATCAGCTCCCACTGCTCCCACCCCTCCTCCACCCCCGCCGCCCCCAGCAACACCCCGCAAAAACAAAGCTGCCATGTGTAAGCCACTGATGCAGAATCGGGGCGTCTCCTGCAAGGTGGAGATGAAGTCCAAAGGGAGTCAGACAGGTGAGCCAGGGTACCTCGATGCCACAGGCTGTATTCCAGAATCCTAGGCCTGCCAGCCCTGTATCCGGGAACTGGACATGGGGATTTCTTAGGTGGCTGAAGCCTCATGCATATGGTTGTCCTGGAATCACAGAGGTGTCATTCAGTCGTTGGTTCAAGGGCAGTTTTGTGACACTGAGCACATGTTAGAGCTTTTGGCGGGTCACATGTGACCAGTTCAGCAGGATCTCTGAGACCCCTTTCTTATCCACAGAAGAGTGGAAGCCACAGGTGATCGTGCTGCCCATCCCAGTGCCCATCTTTGTGCCAGTGCCTATGCATCTGTACTGCCAGAAAGTCCCGGTGCCTTTCTCGATGCCTATCCCGGTAAGTTTCCCTGCCCTTCCTGGCTGGGTCCTCCTTTCCTCTTCCAAGTTTGAGATCCACCCTTTCCCCTTGCTCTCATCAACTGTCCCCCTCACTCTCATAATCTCCTCCTCATCTGCTGGTATGGTTCTTGGCATTTAGTTGGGATTCGTGCCTCCAGGTGCCTGTGCCCATGTTCTTGCCCACTACCTTGGAGAGCACAGACAAGATTGTAGAGACCATTGAGGAGCTGAAGGTGAAGATCCCTTCCAACCCCTTGGAGGCTGACATCCTGGCCATGGCAGAAATGATTGCAGAGGCTGAGGAGTTAGACAAGGCCTCATCTGACCTTTGTGGTATGCCATAGATGGTGGCAACAAGGGAGACAGGGTGTTACCAGCGTGTCACTGCCTGAGGGGGTGGTATGGGTGATCTTGGTGCCTAGTAGAATGGGAAGATAGCTGGGATCAGCCCCTGAAAGTTTGTGAGGGTACTAGCAGGAGCTTGTAGCCACTGAGCCAACTTCTCTGCTTCCCAGATCTTGTGAGCAACCAGAGTGCAGAGGGACTCCTGGAAGACTGTGACCTGTTTGGGCCTGCTCGAGATGATGTCCTGGCCATGGCAGTCAAGATGGCCAATGTCTTGGATGAGCCTGGGCAAGACTTGGAGGCAGACTTTCCTAAGAGTGAGTAAGGTTGGAGCCATGCCCACTGAGTATGGTAGCATTTGTGCCATCAGGAAGGGAGTGTTCCTTGTGTCCCTGAGCGTGACCCTGAAAAGTGTTCATTGTGATTCTAAGACAGAAGGTTCTCACAGGGAGCAGTGCCAGAGATACCAGGACAGGTGCACTCTTTTAGACTTCTGAGTCATGTTTTTTTTTTTTCCCCTTTAATTTTTCAACTGTGAAAGAACATAAAATTTCACCATGTTCAACATGTTTACAGTTCAGTAGTGCTGAATATCTTCACGTTGCTGTGTTTTGTTTTTGTGCCTCTGAGCATGCTTTTTGGTATAGCTTTACTAGTTCCTTTGGCTCATGTAGTTATAAAGTTGGCAAGTAGCAGGGGTGGGGTGGAAGGTCTGCAGGGTTGAGATCTTAAGAAATTGATTTTTTTCTTTCTTTCCCTTATATTAGATCCTTTGGACATTAATCCCAGTGTAGACTTCCTCTTTGATTGTGGCCTGGTAGGGCCCGAGGACGTGTCTACTGAACAAGACCTTCCCCGAACCATGAGGAAGGTAGGGCTGGGGTTACTGTATGTACCAAAGAAGAATGGCGGCCCAAAGGGGAGAGGACGCGAGAGCCAAGCCAGCAACCATAGTTTGACCTTCCCTAACCTCCTTTCTCCAACCCTAGAAGTACTGAGATAAAGCCAAACTTTGCCCTCCTCCCATTTCACAAGGTCATCAAAGCTGTTCCTGGGACTCTGTGCTATGGAAGCTTGCTGTGTGCTTACATCAGCCCCTGCCCCAGCCAGCAGTAAATATGGTGTTGACTAGCTTTCACCTTGCCTCTGGCCTTACCTCTGCCACGCCCCTGCTTTCTCTTCCCCTCCAGGGTCAAAAGCGGCTGGTGCTTTCCGAAAGCTGTTCCCGGGACTCCATGAGCAGTCAGCCTAGTTGTACTGGACTCAACTATTCTTATGGTGTCAATGCTTGGAAGTGCTGGGTGCAGTCAAAATATGCCAATGGAGAAACCAGCAAGGGTGATGAGCTGCGCTTTGGCCGTAAGTACCTGGGGGTTGGGGTGGGGCTGGGGGGAGACAGGGGCAGGGAGGAGGAGGGAAAGGGGAAGAGGGGCTGGGCCTGTGATTCGGCTGAAGATGTCTAGGAGTGATAAGGGTGTGGTCACTTAAGGGTGCCCTGTGAAGAAAGGGAGGAGTTGTAGATTAAAAGGGAATTGCTGTCTAGGTTCCAGGTTAGGGGCTTTTTCTGTAATTGTTCAGGAGCTAGGCATGACTAAGGGATGAAGGGGTTAATGGTGGTGGAGCTAAGTGAATTTCTCCATATAGAGTTTTTCTTAATCCTGTCCACCTGTACTACATATCACTGCAGCCAAACCAATGCGTATCAAAGAGGATATTCTCGCCTGCTCAGCTGCTGAGCTCAACTACGGTCTGGCCCAGTTTGTGAGAGAAATCACTCGGCCCAATGGTGAACGATATGAACCTGACAGTATCTACTATCTGTGTCTTGGCATCCAGCAGGTACCCCTCGTGCACCGCCTCACTTCCTGTCACTGTTAACACAGCAGGCGGGGTCTAACCAGAAATGATTCTGGGTTGGGCATGGTAGCTCACGCCTGTAATCCCACCACTTTGGGAGGCTGAGGCAGGAGGATTGCTTCAAGCTAGGAGTTTGAGACCAGCCTGGGCAACCAAGTGATACCCCATCTCTACTCAAAACATATTTTTTAATGAAAAAAAAATATTCTGTTGCACTCCCTGTTCCTCATCTTGTTCCCTACCTCAAGCAGGCAGCTTGCCTTTAATCTCTTACTCCAAATAGAACATGAAATACCAATGTTCTTCTAAAATCAAAACTGCATTCCAGGACTGTTGGCCAAGGAGCAGTCTTCATTGCTATTCAGGTTCCCTTTGTAATCCTTAAGCCCATTCTAGGAGGGGAGGGATAGGTAGAGCCAGGCTCCTTGAGTGCTGGGGTAATGTTTAGTTCCCACTAGGAGAAGTCAGCCACATATTACCTGACAAGGAGGTATGGGCTTCTGAAGAACATCTCCAAGCCTCCTCCTCTTCCAGCAAACCCTGAGTAGTTGAGAAATGTAGGTAGACCTGGGGGAAAGTGCTCGAGGCTACCTAATCAAGCAGCTGTTTCCCATCATCTCTTAATGATCAAGGACACCATACCTGGGAGCTTCAGCATCATTATCTTTCTTCTAGGACCTACAGTCTAGCCTTATGTGTGTCTGCTTTTCTTTTCACAGTACTTGCTGGAAAATAACCGGATGGTGAACATTTTCACGGACCTTTACTACCTGACTTTTGTTCAAGAACTCAACAAGTCTCTGAGTACCTGGCAGCCTACACTCCTCCCCAACAGTAAGGGACAGGGACGTAGCAACCCCTACACCCTTTCTCCATTCTTCCAATTCACCATCCCGAGAGTCCTGTGCTGTTTGGTGTGCCACTCTTCACAAAGGGCCCGAGGGCAGGATCGTGTAGCTGGATGCCTCAGGGTTTAGAGTTAAAGGAGCACAGGAGCACCTGTACTTGAACATGAGGAGGGGATCAAGACTTAGGTCTGAAGAGCTATCTCTAGGACCAGAAAAAGATGGCCTGGGTTTGGGTGGTAAGTAAAGAAAGAAAGTAAGAAATCGTGGGACTCCTCAAGGTTTACATTTACCTGTCTGCAACTTGAGGGTGGTGAGAGATGTTCCAAATTGCAGGTGTGGAAAGTATATATTTTTAAAAGCCCAGTCCCACTGTGTAGTGTAGCAAGTGTAGCAGAGTGACAGCGTTTTATATACAAAGGTTACTCACCAAATGGAATCATGTGGGAAATAAGCAGGGCACGTGGGATGGGACGTGGTTGGGTTTAGGTAGCCACACGCTCCTGACCGGCCTCTCCCCCTTGACCATTATAGATACGGTGTTCTCTCGAGTGGAGGAGGAGCACCTCTGGGAGTGTAAGCAACTGGGGGTCTACTCGCCTTTTGTCCTCCTCAACACCCTCATGTTCTTCAACACTAAGTTTTTTGGGCTGCAGACAGCTGAGGAACACATGCAGCTCTCCTTCACCAATGTGGTGCGGCAGTCCCGCAAGTGTACTACCCCTCGAGGCACCACCAAGGTGGTGAGCATCCGCTACTATGCCCCAGTCCGCCAGAGGAAAGGGCGAGGTACGAGGCTGCCCCCTCCCCTGTGCTTTTGCCCCTTCTCTGCCTTCCCTTTCCATGCCCCGCTGTAATCCACCATACCTGCCAGATCGGCCCTCTCCTTGGCCCCTAGCTCCCTTCTCCTTCCGTTCCTGTGTGCAGAAAGGATAGAAACGGCCAGTCTTCCTACCTGATGGGCAATGGCTGTCATATAAATAGGAGGTCACCCTATGGCCTGTTTCCCACCTTTCCTCGTTTAAAACACTACTTGCTTGCCTGCTTTTTCTGGGTGGTGGACAAGGAGGAAGCCGTTGGGTGTGTTTGGCTGTAGGGGAGGGTAGAAAGCCTGAATGAATGACAGGCTTTCTGTGATTCTTTGCTATCAGGCCTAACAACAACTGCACCTTGGTTTCCATTTTTTTCTGTCCCTGGATTTCTGTCCTGTCTGAGTATAGTTCCCAAGGTCCCTTTTCTGGACCCATGCTTCTACTGGACTAACACACAAGGGATTGGGGTCATTGCTGTTTCTCGATCCCAGAAGGCAAGCTCACCCTTGCAATAGGGTCTGTTTTATCAGTTGTTTATAACTTCAGAGATCACCTTTTCAAGAGGGCAACTTGGGAGAGTTTTTAATGAGAGAGTTTGGCAGTGGGAACTGGGGAGTGCCGAGTAACAACAGCCCGACAGGATGTGGGGCTGGCGTGGGAGAGACTGACCTCTTCTTTCACCTCTCAGTCTTGATGAGACTTGATGAGACTGTACTTTGTGTCATGACACCGTCTCCCTGTACCCTGGACAGTGCTCTTGGATGTGGCTCATGGAGCCTCTGCTCTTAACAAGTCTGAGTCATTTTCCTCCCCTACAGACACAGGTCCTGGAAAACGGAAGAGAGAAGATGAAGCCCCTATCTTAGAGCAGCGTGAGAACCGCATGAATCCCCTCCGCTGCCCTGTCAAGTTCTATGAATTCTATCTCTCAAAATGGTGAGTTGGTGAGTTGGCAGGAAGAGCATTAGCATGGGGAACCAAGGGATCTACTTTGCCTCGGTACTGATCTTCTGTCCTGCCATCCCCACCCCACCCCTGATGTTGCAGTCCTGAAAGCCTCCGGACTCGCAATGATGTGTTCTATCTGCAACCGGAACGGTCCTGCATCGCCGAGTCGCCTCTCTGGTATTCTGTGATCCCCATGGACCGCAGCATGTTGGAGAGCATGCTCAATCGCATCCTGGCTGTGCGTGAGATTTATGAGGAACTGGGTCGTCCTGGGGAGGAAGACCTGGACTGAGCTCCTGTGCCATCCATATCCATCTTTCACATCAATGTCTGCCCTGTGGCCATGTCCCCTCAGGGTTACAGGCCCAGGAACCAATGCTACTCATTCTGAAGGACCTTGACTGCCCCCTTCCGCTCACCCATTCCCTGCCTTCTCTAGGAACCCCTGGCTTTTACCTTCTTCCATACCACTTGACAACCACGGGGCCCCGGTCTTCTGTACTCGGGCTGGTCTCCCAGTGATGGGCAAAAGCCAGCTCACCCGTTTTCTTTATGCGTCAGAGTAAACCCCTCCTTCCGGGTCCATACTCTGGGTGGAGTGTTAATAGCTCTGGTGATCCTGTTGGCTTTGGGTTTCCTGACCCATCCCGCATAGGTAAAGCCTCTTGTTCCTAGGTATGACCTAGGGAAAAACCCAGCTGCCTTTTCTGCCCTGTGCCCACTCCCTTCTCTTCCCCAGAACCACGCAAAACAGTCTTATCTGAAAGGTATGGAATAAACGATGAAAGTGATGAGGGGACCATTTACCTAAAACACAAAGCTTAGACACTTTTCCCCTTCCATGAAATAATTGGTTGTTGGCACCCTCTCACCACTGCGTACCCACCCCGGCAAGTACCGACCCTTGGTGCTGCCGTTTAAAAAATTTTCCAAATGCCTTCTTTTCCTCAGAGGCAGAGAATGACTAAGTATGGGGAGCAGACTCCTGTTGTGCAGACTCCTGTCCCCTTGGTTTCTGTGTTTGTCTCTCTGCCATCTTAGGTTGCCATGAGCCATGGTGTCAACATGCTTAGCCCCTCTGTAACTGCCTCCCTTTAGTTCAATGGACAGAGCTCCCAAGGCAAAAACTACCTTCTGACTTGGGTTGAGGCTGGGTTCCCCTCTTTTTGTTTCCCCCACCCCCGTCATAAGAGCCAGGCCAAGCCTGTGGGGGCTTGAGTCGTGCAGGATGGGATCTGTGGTCGAAGGACAGGTGAGGAGCTGTGGGCACGGGGCCTGCCCCCACTGCCTACATCTTTTCTCTTCCCCATCTTGCCTTTGAGGTCCCAGAAAATGATTAGCTTCTGGCAAAGGGGGTACCCAGTTCTTTCCCTGTTGACTTTGCTGTTTCCCAGGCTCCTTTTTGTGTTTTTATAACTGTCACCAGTTAGCGACTGTTTAAATTGTATATATTGTTCTGAGGCGCCTGGCCTGTCCCTTCAGTGAGCCATGCCCACCCTTGTGTTGTAGTGAGAAGCTGTTGTCACGACTAACCTGTCTCTGAAATTGTTTGTTTCAAATAAAGAGTTAAAATTGCCTTTTGTCTTTCCTGGGTGATGGATATAGAGGAGCAATGCTGGAACTTCAAACCTTTCCAAGTATAAAGAAGTCAGGTGGTGTTTGAGAATTGTTCTTACTTTACTGAATGAATCTACTGGGAATGTGGTCTTGTTAACAAGTTTCCAAACACTTAAGGAAAAAAAAAATTCACTAGCCATGTATTAAGAAACCATTATGTTTAAAGACCTAGATTACATGCTTCAAAAAAGACAGACTGGTAGACCAGGATCCAATCCCCAGCAGGCTCCCAGCCTATAGGGGAGACCAAGTAGCACACAGTTAGTCCTAATACAGGCAGAATAAAATAAATAGTGCTGTGGGAGAACAGAGGAATAAAGCACTCACTTCAGGTTTCCAGGGAGGCTGGGTGTGGTGGCTCACGCCTGTAATCCCAGCACTTTGGGAGACCAAGGTGGGAAGATCCCTTGAGCCCAGGAGTTCAAGACTAGCCTGGGCAACATGGCAAAACCCCATCTCTAACAAAAATACAAGAATTAAGCTGGGTGTGGTGGTGCACACCAGTAGTCGCAGCTATTGAGGAAGCTGAGGCTGGGAGGATGGTTTGAGCCTAGGAGACAGAGGTTGCAGTGAGCCAAAATCACCCCACTGCACCCATTCTGGGTGACAGAGTGAAACTGTCTCAAAAAAAGACAAAACACGTTTATAGGGAGGCTATATGAGGGTTTACTAAGGGAGGTGGCATTAGACCTGGGCCTCAAAAACAAAGTGGAAAGGGTTGGGAGATCACAGAGATGGGGTGGGAAGTGCAAGGCTGAGATTTTTCCAGCCAAGGGGTAGTAGGCTCAGATCTGTTTAGAGAGACAATCCCCAGAACAATATGAAGAACAGGGAGTGGGGGTAGGCCTGAAAGCCTGGAGATTGGTAGAAGGACTATGGCTAAGAGATTCTGTGGGCCTCAATGGGGACTGTGGGGATAGAGAAGGAAAAAAAAGAGGAATTCAAAGTAAATTTCAGACATTTTGAAGATCAGGTCTGCAGGATCTGATGAATCATTAGAAGTAAAGGTTGTGGGCGGGGCGCAGTGCTCACGCCTATAATCCCAGCGCTTTGGGAGGCTGAGGTGGGTGGATCACAAGGTCAGGAGATAAGACCATCCTGGCCAACATGGTGAAATCCTGTCTTTACCAAAATACAAAAAATGAGCTGGGTGTTGCGGTGGGTGTCTGTAATCCCAGCTGTTCGGGAGGCTGAGGCAGGAGAATTGCTTGAACCCGGGAGGCGGAGGCTGAAGTGAGCCAAGATCATGCCACTGCACTCCAGCCTGGCAACAGAGCAAAACTCCATCTCAAAAAAGAAAAAAAGATTTGATCAAGAATCCCCCCCCCCAAAAAAAAGAAGGGGCTCACACTTAGAATCTCAGCACTTTGAGAGGCAGAGGCAGGTGAGTCACTTGAGGTCAGGAGTTCAAGACCAGCCTGGCCAACATGGTGAAATCCCATCTCTACCAGAAATACAAAAATTAGCTAGGTATGATGGTGGGTGCCTGTAATCCCAGCTACTCAGGAGGCTAAGGCAGGAGAATTGCTTGAACCCGGGAGGCGGAAGTTGTAGTGAGCTGAGACTATGCCACTGCACTCCAGCCTGGGTGACAGACTGAGTGAGACTCTATCTCAAAAAAAAAAAACAAACAAGTTAAGGGAAAGGGAAGAACTGAGCATGAACCCCAGGTGTCTAGCCTTGATGACTGGGAGAGTGAGATGCCTTTAACCAAGATGGGTAGCACAGGGACAAGTTTTTTGTTTTTTGTTTTTTTTCTGAGACGGAGTCTCACTCTGTCACCACCCTGGAGTGCAGTGGTGTGATCTTGGCTCACTGCAAACTCTGCCTCCGCCTCCTAGGTTCAAGCGATTCTCCTACTTCAGCCTCCTGAGTAGCTGGGACTACAGACGTGTACCACCACATCCAGCTAATTTTCATATTTTTAGTAGAGATGGCATTTCACCATATCAGTCAGAATGATCTTGATCTCTTTTTTTTTCTTTTTAAAAAATTTAAATTTTCTTTTCAAGATCAGGAATGATGGTCTCGATCTCTTGATCTCGTGACCCTCCCGCCTCGGCCTCTGAAATTGCTGGGATTACAGGCGTGAGCCACCATGCCCGGTCATTTTCTTAAAGGTGTGTGTGTGTGTGTGTTTTCTGTCAGGGATAGGAGAAGGTCAGTAATAATTTGAGATTTTTATCACATTGGTTTTGAGACGCCATTGAAACACCTTTGTGGTGCACCACGCAACATGGCACAGCAGAGAGAACACCTAGACTTGAGTTTCTATAGGTCTGCCATAAAGTCTTGGGCAAGACAACCTTTTTGAGCCTCACCTAAAAAATGAGTTCATATTTGCAATGATGTGAATCTCAATCTCAAAAATAAAAAGAAAAAAAAAATGAGTTCCTATTCTGCCCTGACTTTCTCACAGAAGTGTTGGGAAGGTCAGATGAGACAACAAACACAAAAGAGCAAATATTGATGCTACGTGTTACCGTATGTACTAGGCAGTTAGAAATTCAAGTCTGAGGCTTAGGAGAGGTGAGGTGTTAATTTAGAAGTCATCTGCAGAGCTCCTCGCTGAAGCTCTGGGAGTACACAAGGTCACTTGGGAAAATAGAGTGAAGAGAGAAGAAGACAAAAAACCTACACTACTTTGAAGAATGTCTGTAGTTAACCAAAGAAAGGCACTGAGAGGGAGAGACCAGAGAAGTCGGAGGAGCCCCAAATCTGCCAGATGCCTAAGACAGCTAACTGATGAAAAACTGTCCTTCCAGTCCAGGCCAAGATGAAGTCTTAAATTTACCTTCTTCTTGCATTCACAACAGGGTGCCAAACCATCCTCTTCCTCTTACCTCCCTCCCTGTTGAAACAGAGAAGGGCCTGATGTCATTTTTTCAACTAGATATGTACTCTGTGCTGAGCCTCGTCTTACTCACTATGAATACAAAGATAAATAAGAACCTGGGGTTGTCCGGGCGCAGTGGCTCATGCCTGTAATCCCAGCACTTTGGGAGGCCAAAGTGGGTGGATCATTTGAGGTCAGGAGTTTGAGAGCAGCCTGGTCAACATGGTGAAACTGCGCCTGTACTAAAAATACAAAAATTAGCCAGGCATGGTGCTTGTAGTCCCAGCTGCTTGGGAGGCTGAGGCAGGAGAATCACTTGAACCCAGGAGGCAGAGGTTGCATTGAGTCATGATCGCACCACTGCACTCCAATCTGGGTAGCAAAGTGAGACTCTAGCTCAAAAAAAGAAAAAAGAAAAAAAGAACCTGGGGTCTACTCTTGAGAAGTCCCTAGTCTGACAGGAAAGACCAGGGCTGGCACTGGGTGAGGCAATTGAGGCACCTACGGTGAAAAATATAAGAGGGCACTTGCTCTTGGGGTCACACAAGTACAGGGTTGGCATTTGCATGACCCTGAGAAGGAGTGCCTCCTTACAGTTGCATTCTAGGTGCCTCGATTGCCTCACCCTAGTCCTGACCCTGGGAAAGGCTCACATGTCAATAAAATAGCCAAGGTAGAATGTAATTGTTTCTCACTCTCTCCCAGGAAATCAAGAAAGATTACAGAGGTGGCCAGGTGTGGTGGCTCATGCCTGTAATCCCAGCACTTTAGGGGGCCGAGGGGGGCAGGTCATTTGAGGTCAGGAGTTTGAGAACAGCCTGGACAACATGGTGAAACCCTGTCTGTACTAAAAATATAAGAATTTGCTGGGCATGATGGTGGGCACCTGTAATCTCAGTTACTAGGGAGGGTGAGGCAGGAGAATCGCTTGAGCCCCAGGAGGTGGAGGTTGCAGTGAGCTGAGATGGCACTACTCACTCCAGCCTAGGCAGCAAAAAGTGACTCCATCTCAAAAAAAATAAAATAAAATAAAGATTACAGAGGTGACATGGGAGCTGGGGTTTCATGAAGAGTGGGCAATAGCTCGTCAGGCAGACTAGAGCTGCAAGGATCAGTGTGAACAAAGGCACGGAGGTGTAACAGCACAAAGCGTCTGCAGAAAAGGGTGGCTGGGCTGCAAAGGCGGTAGAGAGGACATAGTGGAAAGGCTGAAGGTGGTGGGAGGTGTTGCTGAGAAAATAAAGGTCAGGTTGTGAAAAGCACTGAATGCTGTGCCATGCCACAACCGGCTAGAGTGACCAACCACCTTTGTTTGCCCAGGACTTCCCCAGTTTTAGCAATGAAAGTTCAGCATCCTGAGAACCCCTCGGTCCTGGCAAGCTGGGATGGCCATACTTTATCCTAGATAGTCTTCCTGTTACATTTTCTCCTAGAAGCAGTGGAAAGCCATGAAAGACTTTCACTAAGAATTGGCAGGTTATACTTCATGTTTAAGGTGACTCTAGCATGTCTGGGGGAGATGTCGAACTGGGTGCTGAAGAAACTCAAGGGGCCAGTTACAGGGATGAAGTATGGTATAGAAATGGTTAGTGCTGGCTGGGTGTGGTGGCTCACACCTGTAATCCCAGAACTTTGGGAGGCCAAGGCGGGCGGATCACGAGGTCAGGAGTTCAAGACCAGCCTGGCCAACATGGTGAAACCCTAGCTCTACTAAAAAATACAAAAAATTTAGCCAGGCGTGGTGGCAAGCACCATAATCCCAGCTACTCAGGAGGCTGAGGCAGGAGAATCCCTTGAACCCGGGAGGCGGAGGTTGCAGTGAACAGAGATCAAGCCAATCCAGCCTGGGCGATGAAACAAGACTCCATCTCAAAAAACAAAAAACAAAAAACAAAAAACAAAAAAAAACCCAGCAACAAAAAACAGATGGTTATTGCTTCACCTTTGGCATCTGCCAGATGTGAATTCCAGTTCCCCGTCTCAGCCCTTTCTTTCCTATGTGACCAGGCAAGTTACTTAACCTACTTGAGCCTTCGTTTCCTCATGTGTAAAATGGGAACAATATGGATCTTGCCTCAGCGATAGTGAGGATTAAAGGAGGTAATGTAGCACAGTGCCGGGC